GGCTTGAATTTTTTCTTCAGTTCCCCCAGCTTGAGAAATGCTGAGTGTGTTCTTCCTTTTTGGTTTTCTGATTCCAGATCTTTGCACAGTTTGTTGCAGTATTTGGCTTTATCTTCTCGAGCTGATCTTTGAAATTTTCCGTTCGGTTTTTGTACCTCCTTTTTTCTTCCATTTGCTTTAGCATCTCTACGCTGGAGAGCAAGTTTCAGTGTGTCTTCTGACATCCATTTTGACCTTTTCCTTATTTCCTGTCTTCTTAATGACTTTTTGCTTTCTTCATGTATGATGTTCTTGATGTCATACCACAACTCTTCTGGTCTTTGGTCTTTAGTGTTTAATGTATCAAATCTCTTCTTCAGATGATCTGTAAATTCAGGTGGGATATATTCAAGGTCATATTTTGGCTTTCATGGACTTGTTTTCATTTTCTTCAGCTTAAGTTTGAATCTACATATGAGTAACTGGTGGTCTGCTCCACAGTCTGCCCCTGGCCTTATTTTGACTGATGATGTGGAGCTTTTCCATTGTCTCTTTCCACAGCAGATATAGTCAATTTGATTTCTGTGTATTCCATCTGGTGAGGTCCATGTGTACAGTCATTTCTTATGCTGTCTAAAGAAGGTATTTGAAATGAACAAGTCACTGGTTTTTCAGAATTCAATCATGCATTCCCCTGCATCATGTCTATCACCAAGGCCATATTTTCCAACTACTGATCTTTCTTCTTTGCTTCCAACCTTTGCATTCCAATCACCGGGAATGATCAATACATCTTGATTGCATGTTTGATCAATTTCAGATTGAAGAATTGGTAGAATTCTTCTATTTCATCCTCACTGGCTTTAGTGGTTGGTGTGTAAATTTGAATAATAATGGTATTAACTGGGCTTCCCTGTAGGCGCATGAGTATTATCCTATCACAGACACCATTGCACCTCATGACTGATCTAGATATGTTCTTTTTGACAATGGATGTCTCATGATGAGGTGATGAATTATCCAAGATAATGCTGGATGATGAGTTCTCTAGATTGGAAGACCTTCAAAATATATAGTGGCTGTGACAGTGGACTTGAGCACAATGTCAGCCATGATGATGGCACAGAACTGGGCGTTGTCTGGTTCTGTTGTCCCTAGAGTTGTCATGAGTTGGAGGTGACTTGATGGCAGTTGACAGCAATAGACACCAAAAGGAGTGTGTGGGAGTGAGGGGTTGAAGAGACTGTGTTACTTTAGTTCAACCCTGCCCTTCCATCCCACACAGGTAACTAATAAATACAAAACAAAACAACAACAGCCCTATGGGGTTGGGACAGGTGACTGGAAACACCTTCCCTTACTCTAGGCTTTAGGATAGCCTCATCAGTCTGACACCCTGTTCTCTTCAAAGCCCTGTATGTAGATGATCATATTCTACATGTGTCATCTAGTAGAAAAGTTTGGGCAACCATGGCTCACTGTCCCCATGCCTCAGCTGGCCTTCCAAAGCAATTGTTGTTGTTATTAGTTACCAGTGAGTCTTGCATCTTGACTCATGGCAACCTGAGGCATAAGGGAACAAAACACTACCTGCACCATCCTCAGGATGGGTTGTGAACGGCATTCATTGGTTGATTTTCAGAAGTAGTTACTAGTCCTCTCCTCCTAGATTGTCATAGTCTGGAAGCTCTGCTGAATCAGACGAGTGAAGGTGTATTGGCTGGGAATTGGACCTGGATCCACCACTGAATCACCACGGCCCTCTCCAGCAGTTATTAGAGCAGTGAAAGAACAAACCAATCTAGAATCAGAGCTGCTGGGAAGATGATCCATCTCTCCCGTGGCCTCATGACTGCCAAGTTAGAAGGGGTGGGATTCTGGGATTCTTGGAGGTTCTAAAGGGAGATGATAGTTTGGATCTTGGAGGGTGCTGAAATTCATAGCAAATCTGAATGCAACACAGAAGGTAATATGTTTTGTCTTCAAACTGTCTTGTGGCTAGCCTTTAATGTATGGCTTGACTTGGATCCCCAACTACCCCAGCTCCCCCACATACCTGGACCAGAAAAGGTGAGATCTGCCTTAGTCTTGTGACACTTTGTGAGTCTCCCCAAGGTCATTGTCAGGCCTGGCTAGGATGTCTCCTGCATATATTCCAAGAGGGGAATAAATAGGTTCATCTCAAGGTGAGGAGTCACTGGTCTCCACCCTGCCTCCCATGAAAGTGGTCTCATAAGCCTTTACCTATGCGGCTGTGAGCACATATGTGACTTCTGCTTGAAGCCCACCTCTACTGCTGCAAAGCTGAGCAGTCTTGGGAACATCGCATGCCTCCTCGCAGCAGTTTTCTGGTTTGTAAAATGGGAATAAATTTATCTCATAGGATTTTAATAAAAATGAAGCTCATTGCTTCCAAGCATCCAGCATCCAGTTGTTAAGTGCCTTTGAGTTGAGTCGATTCTGACCCATAGCGACTCTGTATAGGTTTCCAAGTTGAGCTTGAACTACCGACCTTGCAGTTCAAACAATTTTGCAATCTGATGCATTAGCCCACAGCGCTACACCAGAATTCTGTAGAGTAGGCACTCATTAGAGCTCAGATCCTATTGAAGCTTTATGACACAGTTTCTGGTTTATGTGTGTACATTTTGTGTACAAATAGGATCATGCATGGTGTTTGCATCTTCCCTAAGACATTTTAACAGCTGACCCTGCCGGATAAAACCCAAGATGCAAATGCTTACTACATTTCATTAGCATAAGTGTTAATATAAGGCAGCTGTCTCACGGCTATAAAACAGTGACGAGTGTGTCTTTGCTTGGCATGTGGAATATTATTTTTTCTCTTACTGAGCCGATTCAGTATTCAACTTTGTCATTATTTAAGTTGGACCTTTAGATTGCTGCATGTTAATGCACTTTACTATTCGGGATTGTTGGATAGCTGTGTGCAAATATTTTTGTTCTCACAATGCAGCCATGGTCCAGGTAGCCCAATGGGCAGAAATATGATTTGCACAAATATTATCATTTCTATAGTGTATAGGAAAAAGAAACCTTAGAACAGAGCAGGAGAAAGCTGCCCTTTCAACATTGGGTTATCTAGGTTCAGTTGGCTTTTTAAAGAAGGAAGCTGTCAGTCCCCACTCTCCGAACCCTAATCTCAAAAAGTCCTTTCTTCCCAGATATTTCTGTACCAGGAAGAGCAAAATCCTATAGGTGTTTGCCATCACAGAGTTTTCTTGCCAATATGAAGAGAAGATAGGAAGAGGAAAAAAACCTTGGACATGTGCTGGGATTCTGGGGATGCTGTGTGGAGTTGATTTCTAATGTCTCTTGTCTCCTTTATACCTAGAACAAGGAAGTGACCTGTAAGAGAGAAAAATGTCCAGTACTGTCGCGAGACTGCGCCCTGGCCATCAAGCAGAGGGGAGCCTGTTGTGAGCGGTGCAAAGGTGATTCATGTCTTCTCATGATCACTTTCTCTTCAAGCATTTTTGTTTCTCTGTTTCTCACCTTTTTTCTTCACTTGACTCTTGACTGGGATGCAAATGGATGTTGGGAGGGACTCTGGTATCTGTTTGTTGAGGATAGGAATAAGGGAACTCGCCTATTAGAGGGATGGATGTATGGCAAGCATATGCCAATGTGGTTTATTTTCTAAGGCGTGTGATTAAAATGTCATAGAAAAAGATATAAACCAGATGCCTATACCAACTTGTACACAGGCACACAAACGTGTTTTGTCACGAAGTTTCAACGCTCAGTTTTTCCAGGTTCCACATTTACCTTACTCACCTCTGCCAGCATTGGACCATTTTAGTCCCTATTAAATTTTTTCTTTCCTTCCAAATTGAATCTACGTTCTCTGTCTGTGAGGCATCTCTAAAGGATCTGTGCTCTCACCTGGTACTTCTCACCCTCCCCTGTACAACTTCGGTGGTGCATAAAGCTTCTTTTCCCTTCATTGTATCCTGTGTTCAGTTAATTATTAGCTCTCTGAGGGCAGGAGCCAGGTTGCACAATGCCATGGCTTAGTGTATATTGGAGTTTAATGCTTGACTGCTAAGGCAAGTTCGAGTCCACCAATGGGCCCCATGGAAGAAAGTCTTTGGGATCTCTGAAAAATAACTCACTGAGAGTCCCTTGGTGCCCAGTAGAGCCAACTCTGTGGTCAGTGGTCTACACAGTGCTTTAGAGAATGGGAGCTTGCTTGGGTGTGAACACCATGTCCTGCTGCCAATTCAAAATTGATTTTTGTCACTTAGTACCTGTTTGTTCTTGATCTTCTGAAGACCTGCTAACTTCTTTCTACCCTACTTTACTCTCTCTCTCTCTTTTTTAAAAATGTTTATTGTGAATTATGTGATAGTTTACATGGGAGAACATTAGTTTTACATTCATCTTATCATGTATCGTCTCATTGCCATGATTATAATCCCCTCCAAGCATCATCAACCAACCAAAGGGTAAACCCTGCAAGCCTCCCCCCAGTTGTCAGCACACAGCCCCTCTCCCTCTCTGGGTCTACAGTCCCCAGCCACTCCGTCTCTTCACATCATCGTCTTTGTCTCCATCTCTAGGGTCACTGTTTCTCTGGGTAGGGTCCCGCACTCCCCTCTTCGTCCTTGATGGTTTCAGGAACCTTGGCTCTTGGACTGCATCATCAAACACGCCCCTCCTTTTGCTACAAAACACCTACCTTCACATTTCCAACCCTCACAGTCAGTCCTGATAACAATTATTCACCATTGTACCACAAGGGGCCTATCCCTATCTCCTTTCATTAGCTCCGCCCAGACACATTGGATACTACTCAGTGGAGAATCTACTTTCCTAGCCAAGAGGTTCTAGGCTCCCTCTTGGAAGCTTGGAAGCCAGTCACTTCTTGCCTTTGAAGCCTTCCCCCCCCCGCCCCCCACCTTTGGGTAGCCAATGTCCAAGTTGCCCATCCCTGTGTACTCTGTGTATGGAGGGGGTGGGAAAGATTCTCACTGTAAAGGATTGTTCCCTCTTTTGAGCTACTACATCCATAGGTGTAGGTCAAGTTCATCAAACTGTATGAGATTACTTTTATTTTTCCTCTTCTTTCTTATTCTAGTTGAGCTCTAATCATCCAGCCATTGAAGCCAAGTCAAGTGGGTAGAATCTGCAAGTGTGGGTGTTCTTGTGCATATGCCTTCTCTTCTTATCAGCTGGACGCTTCAATCTCCACTCCAGTCCTCTGTGGCTATGTCACTGACTCTGGCCACACTGCTGGCCAATCAGGTCTCCACCCGGGTTCACAGGAGTCTATTGAAAGTTGTAGGGCTTAGCTCACAGCTTCATTGCCGTTCTTCCCTCATTTTCCCTTATCGGTGACAAACTTGGTCACCAATCAGAGTGCATGTCTGCTCGTGTATTCCCATTAAGTCTTAGTCTTACAAGGGGGTTTGCCCTGAAGGGACCCAACCTACTTTCCTGTCTTTCAAGTGAGAATAATAATTCACTATTTCCAATTGTTTTTACCTCTCAGAACACACACTCAGGAACTTAAAATGTAAGATACATTCAAAATGCTTAGCATGCAAAGTGCAAGGCAATTTAGCATTTATCATTAGCATGTTGTTGTTAAGTGCAGTGGAGTGGGTTCTGACTCATAGCGACCTTGTATTAAGTTTCCAAGGAGTGGTTGGTGGGTTTGAACCACCGACCTTGTGGTTAGCTGTGCAGTGCTGATGCTACAGTGCCCTTTAAGTATGTGTCAAACTTGACTATGTTGAAACCTCTCAGAAAAGCTGTAAATGAGTGAGAACAATGTTTTTTTAGAATCTTCTGAGTGTCCAGTTTATTCTTCCCCTTTCTTAATAGAGCTGGGAGTTGGATGTTTTTACCAGTATGAGTCTGAAAGCTATCCATGCAAACTCTGTAATACACTTCATTAAAAGCTTCCCTGGTGGATTGTGAGATAAAGTATTTACAATGAAAAATACAGTACTCAACTAACGTATGTCTAAGATACTGTTGTTCTACCTTAATAAAGAATCTTCTTTTTTCATTCCTTTGAAACATTTTTATTGTGGTAAAAACATATGCAACAAAACATTTACCATTTTAATCACTCCTCTGGTGGCAACGTAGGATACGCACCAAACTGCTAACTTCAATGCCTGTAGTTCAAACCCTCGGGAGAAAGATGAGACTTTCTGCTCCCGTAAAGATTTACAGCCTTGGAGATCTATACAGGGTCTCTGTGAGCCAGAACCAAGTCCAGGGCCATGAGTGAGTGAATGAGTGAAGGGGAGAATTCAGTAACATAAATGTCTTTCCCCCATATTGTTGTGAACCACTGTCCATTACCAACTGTTTTTGTCTCTCAAAACAGACACTCAGACCCCCTTCAATAATAACTCCTCATTTCCGCCCCACCTTCACCAGCTCTTGGTTGTTGTTATGTGCCGTGGAGTCAGTTCCGACTCATGGAGACCCTGTACAGGGTTTCCGAGGCTGTAAATCTTTACAGGAGCAGAAAGCCTCATCTTTCTCCTGTGGAACTGCTGGTAGTTTTGAACTGCTGACCTTGAGGTTAGCAGCCCAATTCATAACCACTATGCTACCAGAGTTCCTTGTTATTTTTGTGTGAAGTACTGTTGAGTCGATTCTAACCCATAGCGACCCTGTATAGGGTTTCCAAGGATCAGCTGGTGAGCTTGATCCACCGACTTTGTACTTCAAACAACTTTACAGCCTGATGCATTAGCCCACAGCGCCACACCAGGACCCCAGAGCTCCTTAATCACTAATAAACGTTGGTCTTTATGTCTTTACGTATTCTAAATATTTCGTTTAAGTGGAATCAGGCAATGCTTGTCTTATTTCATTTAGCCCAGGCTTTATTTTTTAAATCACTCTTTTGTCATCTCCATTTTTCTGTGGTTGTCTAAGCTGCATTGACAGTGAGGGGGAGGGGGTCAGTTGGATACTGTGGAGTGGGAACAGAATGTGTTAAGGAAGCACTAATAGTCATGGTTTGTTTCCTCAGTGTCCACAGAACACAAGGAAACTTTCTGCTGCTGTGGAACCATCTTCCCCAGTTGCGTTATTTCCCCATCTATCCGAATATGTGATGTCACACTAACCTGAACACATTTGTCTTGCTATTTCCTTTATCAACACCCTTTCCTCCAATTATCCTCATCCCCCAAGAGGGAGGGAGACCCATGAGAAATCCATTTCCTGACCATTCTTTTTGAGCATGTGAAGGTAAACCTCTTAGAATGAATCTGGAACCAAGAATAGACCAGTAGGTTCAGCGTTCTGTACTTTGTTTCTGACAGTAATGACAAGATGTTTCAATCAAGTCAAGACCCTTTACTTGCCCTGAGAGTTTCCTCCCTGAGGGAGATTTGAAGATTCACCCTTCATTTTCTCTCTTTCTATCCCATAACACAGTTTTGTTTATGAGGTTTCTGGGACATAGCTGTGTTTGCTCTTTCTTTCTTTCTGTCTTTGTTTATTATTAAAATATATATAACACAACATTTACTAATTCAGCCATTGTTCATGTGCATTTGCTTTTAGGTACTGGAAACTACCCGTGCTTTGATTTGTGTATGTTTTCCTAATTGATGTTGTTGTTGTTAAATGCTGTCAAGTCGTTTCTGACTCATAGCGACCCTGTATAGGGTTTCTGAGACAGGCTGCTGGCTTTGAACTGCTGACCTTGTGACTACCAGTCCAGTGCTTATTCTACAGCATCACAACATGGTATTTCTAATTAGAATAGTAACATATGTTCGGAGTAGAAACTTTGTAAACTAGTTTAAATTGTGAAAAAGCAGAAAGTAAATTAGTTGTGCTTACCACCCAAAAGAAAAACAATTGTTAATATCTGGTATGTTTCTTTCTGTACCTACTTTTCCCCATATTAATGTATTTATCTAACTGAGATCATACTACTCATTTCTTGCTTCCTTCCCATCTTCCCTCCCTTCTTTTTTTATTTTGCTGTTGTGTGTTTTCGAGTGGGTTCCAATTCATAATGACCCTGTATAGGGTTTCAGAGAGTGACTGGTGGGTTTCAACCATTGACATTGGGGTTAGCACTCCAGTCCTTATCCTACAGCTCCATGCCAGGACTTCTGTTTAACACTGGGTATAGCATGATTTCACCTTACTAGGAAATAGCCTTTTGAATGGCTATCACGTATGTTTCAGTTGTTGGATGTACCAACATTCATTTGGTCATTCCTCCATTTTGGGGTATTTGGGTCATACCTTGGATTTTAGCATTGGGTAAGCATAAAGGCAGGAGCTGAAACCAAAGAGCTTTGTGTAGTGAATGAAGTTGGACCCAAAAGATAGTATCAAAAGGAGCATTCATTAATTGGGTGTGAATAGATTATAGCATAAACCCAGAGACCACTTTGAACTTGATCTCCCAAAGAACCTAGGTAAATCACTGCTCAACTTTTTT